CAAAATAATTCCTAATGCAGTTTTTGAGTATGTTTAGGAAGTATGGGAGTAGTAAGAAAATGAGAAGAAACAGTTGAATCTGTCACTTTTCCTTGCAGGATGTTTTACTTAGGGACTCAGTACACAGTGTCTCTCTGCCTGTCCATGCCTCTCATGTTTGTGTGTGTATGTATATATTTATAGTCAGAGACAGAGGGAGAGGTAGTAAGATGTATTGGAGTGTGTGTCTGTGTCTTTCAGTATGTAAAACCTTTGCAAGATTATGGTTCTGTTACTTTGTTTCTTTCTACTAACACACAGAGAGGCCAGTAAAAGGGCTTTTGAAATGAAGAGCAGGTTTGATACTTGGACTTAAGCTCTTCATGCTTCAGATCCCTTATCTGTAAATTGGAAATGAAAGTAGTAACTCTCACAGGACTTTTGTAAAGAAGTTACATTTGGTATGTCCTTGTGACATTCAAAATAAGTTGAAAATATATACTTGTGTGCTTACTCTATGATATTAACTCCTTGAGGTGTAGATACTAGTGATACAGAATTTTGAAATGAGGATATAAAAGTCAAGATGTACCTGAAGGTCACACAAGTGTGGCAGAGCTGGCACGTGAATCTGGATCTCTACCAACAGGATGGTTTACATCACTTTGCCTGGGAATGTACTGTCTCTTTAATTCTCGAGGAAAAGTGCTATTATTATTTTCTGCACAGTCCCTGCAAGATCATTCATGTTTTATTTTTGGTGTGAACTTTTTTTTTTAAATAATTGAGGCATGACATACTTAGGGTAACGTGTTCAGCCTCAGAATAAGTTTACCACAAAATACGCCTGTGTAGTAATCTGCCCAGATTAACATCTTTGATTTTTAAATGGAATGGTGGGTGTTTAAAAGTTTGTGGAGTCCCATTGTGATGGGTTCATTCCTCTCTTTTCCCATAGCAGCCGTGGTTTTCCTGTTTACTGTATTTCCCTGATGATCTCTCTAATGCCTGAAGAAACTTAACTTTGTTTCTCGTATCTCATTTGTTTCCTGTATCTCAATGTACTGTTTTCTGCTCTGTCTGCAGTGGGCTCGGGATGAGTTTGAAGGCCTTTTCAAGGAGCCAGCAGAAAATGTCAACAAATACCTTACATGAGTACTTTGGTGCAAGTGCCTGCTCACCCTGTCTCTGGCCTGTCAGTCAAAGCATTCTGTAACCATTTAACAGTTAGGACCTACTGTACTTTTTTTTTTTTTTTTTTTTGATGTAGGGAGGGCCAGGGCCACACCAGGTATCACACAGTAGTGTGTGGAAACTCAGTGATTGTATCCATACCCCCTGTGGTGGAAGCACAGGGGATTCCCTGGTCTGCTTTCTGAATAAATTAATGGTTGCTTGGGCCTTATACCTTTGGAAGTCAGGACTGACTTTCCACAGATATAAGCTTACTCGTGGAATCAGTGTGTTAATTCTGCATTTGTTTCCCTTCTGATTCTTGATAGAGAGGCCAAGTTTGTGGAACGAACGCTGTGCCTGGCAGGCACCCAGCCTCTGCAGGTGCTGGAGGCCGTGCAGCGCAGCTTAGTGCTTCAGTGGCCACAATCATGGGCTGACAGTGTGACCTGTGCATACTATCACTGGCATACCCAGTACTCCAACAACATCAGACAGCTGCTGCACAACTTTCCTCCTAACCAGGTAGTAACACAGGGATCATTTGTCAGAATGGTTTTACTGAGAACAGCCTGCCCAAGCATTTTTTAGTATTTTTTAATGTATTTTTAAATGGAGGGTTGTTGCTTTACACTATTGTGTTGGCTTCTGCCATGTTTTTGATGTGATTCATTCCAGTTAATCTGGTTGTGGCAAGCTCAGCAAGGCCTTGAGAGCTCTTAAAATGAATAAGCAAATGATTTTTGAGGTCAAAGACTTGCTACCATTCTCCTCTAATGCCCAGTCACTCTTTCTTCTAACCGTCAGATACTTGATATCAGTTTCCTTTTGACATAGGATGTGTCATTCCAGATTCCCAGTCAAGACTGTCACAACTGTAGAAGAAAAGATTCAGAGTTAATGGCATAGAATCTAGCTGTGTTCTCTTGGCACAAGTTATGCAGTTCCTCTCAGCACCTCAGTATACTCATCATGGAATTAGGAAGAGTGATGACCTAATTTCATGAGAGTTTTGTGAAGGTTAATTGCTCTTTGTTAAGTTAGTAAATTAATTTGTTAGTACAGTGCCTGGTGGGCTTCCCTGGTGTCTGAAGCGGCAAAGAATCTGCCTCAAGTGCAGGAGACCTGGGTTTGCTACCTGGGTCAGGAAGATCCCCTGGCGAAGGGAATAGCTACTCAGGCCAGTATTCTTCTCTGGAGACTCCCATGGACAGAGGAGCCTGGTGTGCTGCAGTCCGTGGGGTCCCAAAGAGTTGGACATGAGTTAGCATCTGAACAACAAGAGCACAGTGGCTTGCAGTCCGTAAAAGTTTCATAAATATCTCTCTATCTGGCAGAAAGTGAGTGTCAAACGATAGTGAGTTGGGCCTTCTGGGACTGAAAATGAGGAGTTGTTGTTATCAGAGAGACTTCTTGTGGCAGGTTCTGCTCCCCTAAATCTTTCTATCTTCTAGCTTACAGGTTCAGGAGCCCCTTTCTGGTCTGGGCCTAAATGTTGCCCACACCCGCTTATCTTGATGTCAACAATGTAACTCTACTTTCCTGGGTCTCCTGCAGTTGGGTTGAAAGTCACTGAACAGGTGGTAAGGAGGCTGAGACTCTGTAGGGGAGTACAGATGTTCTTTCCCTTCCTTACCTTGCCTTCTCTTAGCCCCTGCATCTGGACTACGTGATAGCTGCTGCCAACCTGTTTGCCCAGACCTATGGGATGATGGGCTCTCAGGACCGGAGTGCTGTCACCAAACTCATTCAGGCTATGCAGGTCCCTGTGTTCACCCTGAAGTCTGGCGTCAGGATCCAAGTTTCTGACCAGGAGCTGCAAACCAGTTCCTCTGTTGGTGAGATCCTTTAGCTGGGCTGGAGCCACCACGCTACTGTAGCCCATGTCCATGCAAGCCTCCTGCACACTCATATTTTGCCCCTGGCTCTGCTCTGAGATCTCCTGTCTGAGATTGATCCACTGCCCTCTTTCCTTCTTCAGTTTCCAGTGGGTTTGATGGAGACAAATTCTCTCTCATACTACTTCTTTCTTCTCCCTCTCTGAGTGGACCATGTCTTTTCTTTGTGTGTTATTTTCTTTGTTTTCTTCTATTTTCCGTACTACTTTTCTGTGTGCTTCTGCAGTATAAATGGATACGATTTCCACCAGTAGTCTCTCTGCCTGATTTCTTCCCTGGTTCATCTTGACAGATCTCCTCATTTGCATCCCTACTTCTCTCTGATATGTATCTTTAACCTGTTACTAATCTGTGTGTATATCTTTCTTCATCTGTCTCTCAATATATTCCTCATCTCTCCAACTGTAACTGTCCCCCAACTCAAATTTCCATGTCTCCCCTCCCCACCTCGTGTTCTAGAAGTCCTTGTCTACATTTTATCTTGTTTGTATCCCTCCGTTTCTTCCTTTGTGTATCTGTCGTCTCCTCTTATATCTTTTGCATTTTGTGTCTGAAATAGCTACTCTCTCACATTCCTGTTTGTATATTTCTCTTTATGCATTTCCCTACCTGTCTCCCCTTCAGGTACTTTCTACTGTCTTATTTCCTGTACATTTTTTTAAAAACTGCACTGTTTATGCCCCTCCTTCCTTCTCAGATATGTCCTGTTTATCCCATTTCACTACTCTCTTCTTTTGTATCGGTGCATTTCCCTGCAATGTTCCTTTCTGTAACTTTTATCCCCTGGTCTCCTGTTTGCTTTTGTGTCTTCCTTCTTATCTCCCCTTATCTGTGTTGTTCTTCTTTAACATGTCTTATTTTATGTTCTCATTGACATCCTGCATTTGTTTGTTTAATATTTTGGTAAAAAACACAAGAGATTTACCATCTTAATCATGTTTAAAAATATGCTTAAGTAGGATTAAATACAGTTACATTGTACAGGAAATTTATGGAACTTAACTTGCAAATCTTAAACTCTATACCCATCAAACAGTAACACCCCAGTCCCCTTCGCCTCTGCCTCTGGCAAACAATAATGTATCTTCCGTCTCTATGATTTTGATTTTTAGCTACCTTATGCAATACTTGCCTTTCTACCTCTGGCTAAGCATGTAGTTCTGAGGCCATTTGTGCTGTTAAACTGCCAGGATTTCAAATGTTCCTCTTTAAGGAGACTTAGTGTTGCACTGAATTGATAGACCACATTTTTGTATCCACTCATTCATCAGTGAGCAACCTGGGTTGCATCCATCTTTATTGAAAATAGTTTTGCTGTCTAAACCTTTCTTAGTGTCTCAGTCGTTTTCCCTCAGTGTCTCTAGTTATACTCCTTTTCACGTCCCACACACCTGTCTACTTTTCTCTTTGAGGTGTTTCTGCCTTGTCTTTCCTGCTTCATTTTACTCTCTCACGTGATGTCTTTCCTTTTTAAATCCTTTATCTGCATGAAATTCTCTGCCTTACTTTGGACTCCTGCTTTCACCTCAGGCCCTGGCTTGGAATCTAATGTGTATCTGAGGACTGACATGTACTACCTCCTCTCGGCAGATGATAACCGCCTACAGGAGCTCAAGGCCATGCTGCCCACCCCAGAGAGCCTTTCTGGGTTCAAGATGTACCCCATCAACTTTGAGAAGGTGCTTGGGAGAGGGGTGCCCTCAGCAGGATAGGAGGATGGGCTGAGCCATCTTTAGCTTTTGTGGGGTTTACACGTCTACTATATAGCCCTTTTTTTTTTTTTTTTTTTTTTTTTTGGTGGTCTGGAACATCTTTGGACGCACTGGCAGGTAATGGGGGAAAATAGATGTTGGTCCGTAGTACTATCTAGAAAACCTTTTGTTCCTGATCTGCTTCCTCTATTCTTCCTCTGCCTCTACTCAACAAAAGGATGATGACACCAAATTCCACATGGATTTCATTGTGGCTGCATCCAATCTCTGGGCAGAGAACTATAACATTCCCCTCGCAGACCGACATAAGGTAACAAAAATTTGGATCTAAACTTGAACCCTTTCTAAATTTGCATCTGCCACATACGACCTTTTCAGTGGGCTGTCAGCTTCTCTTAACAATCACCTCTGCTCGTCACATTCTGTGTCATAGAGCAAGCTGATTGCAGGGAAGATCATCCCAGCCATTGCTACAACCACAGCAGCTGTAGTTGGCCTTGTTTGTCTGGAGCTGTACAAAGTGGTACAGGGACACCAACAGCTTGAGTCCTATAAGAATAGCTTCATCAACTTGGCCCTGCTCTTTTTCTGCTTCTCTGGGCCCCTTGCCCCACCCCATCATCAGGTAAAGTCTTGTATTTATGGAAACCTTCGGTATTACGCATCAGTGCCTGATACATGTATGTATATGAGTGGGAAGTATATGCATCTTATCCTTGGAGAACTGGCTCTGGTTTTCATCATTCTGGAGGCTTGCTTTAATTTTGTGCACCCCGTGTTCACTGTTGGAACCTGTGCACTGTGCAAATGAAACTCTCATATTTGTGATTTAAAGAGGAGAGTGTAACCTGGGCTTGTCCCCTGATTTACTCTGCTGTGCGTTCTCCTGCAGTTTTATAACCAAGAGTGGACACTTTGGGATCGCTTTGAGGTCCAGGGGCTGCAGCCTAATGGTAAAGAGATGACCCTCAAGCAGTTCCTTGACCACTTTAAGGTAAGACCCCTTCTTCACTTACTACATGTAGGGTAGTGCTTGTCCAGGTCCCTGGTATTGTCCATCCTAGTGACACCGTTGCCCCTCCTTTCTACTGTCTTCAGTCAGAGCACAAATTGGAGATCACCATGCTGTCCCAAGGTGTATCCATGCTCTACTCCTTTTTCATGCCACCCAGCAAGCTGAAGGAACGGATGAATCAATCGTGAGTTGGGCCCACTGGGCAGGGAGAAAGATTCTCGTCCTGTGTCAGCTAGGAAGCATCAGCTATCTATGCAACTCATGTTTACTGTTTTCCTCAGTTATTTGCCCCTTTATGACGTTTCCTCTTTTTCCACTTACCTGACCCTGTTATTCCTCATACTAGGATGACAGAAATTGTGAGTCGAGTATCAAAGCGAAAGCTGGGACACCACGTGCAAGCATTGTTGCTTGAGCTGCGCTGCAATGATGAGGATGGCAAAGATGTGGAGGTTCCTTATGTACAATACACCATTCACTAATTCCTTTATGTTCCTCTTCCATGTTTTCAGTCAGCTCAACTTTCTGGCATAAGCTGAGCCTTATGTCCTTTTGAGAACTTCTTGTTGCTGCTTGCTATGTGTAGTGTTGGGATTCTTAATAAACAGGAGTTCATCCAAGTGTGTTCTATCCTACCTTTGTCAGAGGCCTGAACCTAATTGTCTTCGGAAGGAGCAGGTTCACATATTAATCCAGAAAGCTCCACACTGCACCAGTGTGGAATTTCTCCCAAATTCAAGGTTATCAGATAAGATTACATCCAGTTGTTCTGCCAGATGCTTGCCTTGGTCCATTTTCCTCCTGTCCTCTGCTTACAGAGAAATAGAGACATTTCTAGGTTGGATGTAGAGCATATCTAGCCTTACCCGTTACATTAAATCTGGTTGAAGTTCTACTCCTTTCCCTTCCCACAAGTATCTTGCCATAACAGTTTTCAAGGTGGTAGACTCTGGGTCTGGATTATGGGTCTGAATTCTAAATCTTTCCAGGGTGAATATTCTTTGTTTCTTCTCTTGAATGATCAGATGAAGAGTTGTTTGGAAGAATAAAAAGATTTTATTAATACCTATAAGTGTTGCAAGTAGTATTTCACATGATACTTTTTTTTTTTTTTCAGTGAGAATATACAGAGCTTGGTCGTCTTCTAGCTTACTTGCACTCAGGATGGTTTATAACCATGCTTTGTACCTGTGCGGGAGCCTCATCTTAAGCTCTGCTCAACTGTTTAATGTCCTTAAGATGTCTCGTACACTTAGGAGGAAATTATTGACCAGACAAGAAATGTCCCTTTGTGCTGTACCCTGCTTCCCTCATCTGTCGGTCTCCCTTTTTTTCCCTTGAATGTCAGCAGACTGGGAAGATGTAAAGGACTTTTTCTCATAGGTCAGCAGTGAGAGTACCAACAGTGGCCACACAAGCACTGTCAAGCATACCAGGCACACTGTCCAGATGGCTGAAGAAACGAGTGTTTTCACCTGCCACCGTGTCCCTTCCTTACCCTCTGGTACCAGCTTGGGTGCTTAAAGGTAACTACTCATACCCTCTGTATGTCACCCAGATATGTAAGACCCTTGTTCTTACACACCACTTGGAAATATCCCTTATTCTTCCACTCAGACCTGGGTATTGCAACTAGCTCAGGCAGTCCATAAACCAGGCAGGCCTGTGCAAATCCGGCCTACTGTCTGGGCCATCTGCAGGCCAGACACTGTGTATGTCCTTGACTTTTCAGGACCACACAGGCCCAGTTAATCTGCTGGGTGACCTCAGTTCTTCCATACATTCTTTTAGTTCCCAGAAAACCTCGGACACAAGGAACAGAATTTCTTTGCCTCTGGTGTCTTACTGAAGAGCAGTGCTAGTTGCAAAGCTTAAAACAAGAAGTTTCTCCAGGATAGGCGCTTTTACATCATTGTTGCTCTAATCCCTGAAGACACTAACATTTGTCCACTGTTTCCATCATCCTAGTGTTTGAAGGTTGCCTAGAAACTGTATTCTTCTCTTTTTCCACTCTCATAGGTTCAGATCCTCTAGCACAGCATTTTGAGACTGTCTGGACAAATAGTTCTGTTGCTCAGCACTGTAGCCCTTAAACCTTATGTGGCTGTGTAGCACTTGAACTGAGGCTACCGCTACTGATTAACTTAATGCTTCATTTTTTTTTTTGTAAATTGAACCATCTACATGTAGAAAGGAGCTATGCACTGAAAAGAAAAACGTCCCTGTTCCTCGGCGTTCATTAAATCAACTCGTGAATCATTCAAGTCATACACACTGCCAAGGATGAGACCCAAGAATTCACGTGACGACTATCAGGCTGAGCAGTGGGGCATGTTCAGAAGGACCACTAATACCTAGTCCCTGGAAATGAATACCAGCAGGCTCCAAACTGACCCCAGGGCCTTCGCTGTCTCCTACTGCCCCAAGGTCCTTTAGGACAAGCAGCCAGCCCACCATCCTTGCTTCCTCCCTGTTCCCTCCCTCACAGGCACATGCTGGCAGAGGGGCACACATACACACCCTACACCTGCACTTTCCTCACCTTTCTGTACTGCCAGGGAGGTTGCCAAGTGCCTGGAGGCATTCCACACTCACCCCCTGTCTCTGCTAGGATGCCTGGGTTTTCACATGGACAGCCTACCTTAGCACATCTCACATTTTGTGTCACATCATGCCAGTGTGTGCCACCCTTGGGAAGGGAGCATGCTTCCTTATGGACTGATCCCATAGGCCCAGGACCTTCACAGTTATCCTTCTTAGGTGTGTGGAATTAGTCTCCAGTGCAGCAGGCTCTCTGTGCCTCTTCCTCCTTCGGGTCTCTGCCCTCTCTTCAGGACCTTAGTGTCCTCACCATCCTGGGTCCTACTGTAGCCATGTCCACCATTTCCACAGACTGGCACATTTCCCCACAGACTGGCACAGTTCCCCACAGACTGAGCGGTCCACAAGCAGTGGTTTCAAATCCCCACCCCATCTGATTTGCTCTGGGTGAATCCTCACACCTTACAACCCCAACACAAGAAAACACAGCAGAAATTATAATCGTGTTTATCTGTTGATTTAATTTTGATCTAAATCCAGATTTGTGCAGCCCTGGTCCAGAGTTATCTCTGGCCATCCTTCCCTCATTCCTGTCCTGGACAGGGGCACTGCAAAGATAGGTCAACCATCCACCCCATATCTGGGGACCTTCCATGCCTCCTCTTTAGGTTGTTCCATGTCTCAACGCCTTTCACTTTCATCACTGCATCAGGCCTGGGTGACAGCAAGTGTGCAGGGTTACAGACTGCTTCCTGCAGGAATTATGCCCCATCAGATTTTTTCCAAGGCTCTGGCAGCTGGCAATCAGGAAGCCTCTTTGTCTAGTTTTTCTATGTTACTCTTCCCATTATACACAGTAGAACGTTGCCTCGCTTGGCCCTCCTCTCTTGTTTACCACATCAGGCACAAGTTGTGCCCCCCACCCCAACTGGGGTCTTATTCTGCTGTTTGGCATGTCAGGCATGTAAAGGAACACCTAGGCTGGGGTCATACTCTGTTCTTCCATGTGTCAGGTGCTTGATGGGCAGCCTCTATATTGTTCAGCTGCCAGTGCTGACAGGTGGGGAGAGAGAGACGACGGTGATGGCTCCACCCCGTATACATGATTCAGTACCAGCACCTAGCTTTCATGGCTGCATGGCTTTCTTCCAAAGACACTTCCCACAATCTCCTCCCTCACGTCCCCTCCATTCATCTCCCAACAGTCCACAGCAGCCCATGCCCTGGGTTTGCTCCACAATCCCTCTGTTCCAGCTTCCAGCTGTTGCACTGTCTAGGGAACCTGCAACTGTCTGTGGTATGTATGGTGCAGCAAGGATTGTCTGATTCTCATTTCATTTAGGCTTTCAAAGATCAACTGCTTCACTCTCAAACTCAAATGTTTCTCCTTTGATCCAGATAAGGATCCCCCCCCCCCCAATATGGGATTTGGACCCCTTCTTCAGTTTCTTCATTTGTTGAGGACAGGTTCATTGCTACTAACACTCCTGCTTTCCGCCCTATTTCCTTCATCCTACAGAAATTTGCGTGGATCTATATTTTCTTCTCTGGTGTTCAGGTACTCATGCTCACTCTCAGCTGATGTTCTGCAAGCACATCTGTGTCTGAAGGTATATTCCTGATGCATCCATAGAGAGTGATGTACTGCATATCCACCAACTCTTCAGCCATCTTCAGTCATCTTATTCTGCTAAGAGAGAGAGAGAAAAGAAAAAAAAAAAACTTTGCCAGAAAACATCTGACATTCTGAAGACTTGTTTTGGCATATTTTTCTCAGAGCACAGATCAAGTATCTAATTTCTTATATCCACCCGAATTCCTTTCAAGATATGTTGAACTCAGTAAGTAGCCATGATTTAATCTTTGCAGAGACAGCTTATAAGTGCCAGTTTCCAGCCAGCAGGACCCCTTCCTAGCCAAAGATTTGACCATGCTTTCAGGGTGTTTCATGTCCGTTGCATCCCATGATGTGGGTAAGGCTCATTTCCAGGCCCAGTGAAGTTTTGATTGATATGTCAATCAGTGTGATGCTATTTGACTAGGCTCTGTGAATAGCAAAAATCTCCAGTCCATTTCTGTCTTGCTAGCCTCTTGGTGCAGGAAAGTCTTCCCTGTTGTTGTTTCTTCCCATATCTAGAGTTACATAGTTACAATCATTGATCTCATATGGAACTATATACATCACTATTTTATCAGTGACTGTGTCATGTACTTGATAATGTAAGACACAGCAATTTTGTGAAACAGACAATATATAAAATAATCTAGGGAGAAAATAAGGTCAAAAGCAAGAATTTAAGACAGGCGCTTTCATTAGGTATAGCCCAGTATGCCCCAGGTCATCTGACTTAGTTAAGTGATTATATCCAGGTGTTAATCTCCTGGTTGTATGTCATAGAGCATCGATCTTTATCCAAATACTGATTACTGATGTCAGCTTTAAAAACAAAGGAGGTCCTTTTAACAACTTATATAAAATTTTAACAACATAACATAACAACAAGGAAATATCTCAGAGGTGATAACAAACTAGGATGTAATGTTCAGTAAAACATTAACATTTTTCACTGTGAGGGCATCAACCCTGCAGCCAGGGATGGCTTTATCACATCAAATAAAAATGAGGTTTGTCAGGAAACTCCAAAAATGCAGATGACAAACTTGGCTTTCCCATAGCCCTGATTGTTTCATTACAGATATTGCTTCTGTTCAGTTCAGTTCAGTCACTCAGTTGAGTCCAACTGTTTGCAACTCCATGAAGCACAGCATGCCAGGCCTCCCTGTCCATCACCAACTCACGGAGTTTACTTAAACTCATGCCAGTGATGCCACCAGCCATATCATCCTCTGTCGTCCCCTTCTCCTCCTGCCCACAATCCCTCCCAGCATCAGGGTCTTCTCCAAAGAGTTAACTCTTCTCATGAGGTGGCAAAAGTACTGG